AAAAGTTACAAATATTTTACTAAATGTTGTAAAAAATGACTTGTTTTGAGCTAAATGTGGAAAAATGTTGCCGTTAATTTCAGCACGTTTCACTTTACAAACGGCGCCCCATAGCAGGGGAGCAGAAAATGAAGTCGACCGTACGTTTCTAAGAGTCAACTTTGCTTTGTCACACATTTGCTAGCAAATAGAATTGATGTTATGTCATCTCAAATTTGATAAAAGCCAGTGTTAACCAGTAACCGGGCAAATAAAAGATAATAATTTTTCCCTCTTTACACGCAAGTCTCCGGGAACAAGACCTCGGGTTTTATAGGTCATTTGAGATTGAAAATTTTGCTTTTACAGGCCAGGATTCAGTCTAGACTCCCTATAATAAAATGCATAAAAGCTCCTGCACACAGATTGTGGTAATCATGCATCCAGTCAGTCTGGTGATTGGAAACTTTAACTATTCTTATTCCACAGAAACTGAGGTTAGGACGACCTTTCTGGAGCAGATTTTGTATTTTATGCACTTTTTTCTGCCTATATTTCGATATAGAACCAAAATGTTTTCCAACTTGAACGTGCATGTTGATGCTAATGTCTTTCTCTGAGCCACTACTGTACATGTGGTATGACACTGAGAGCAATTAAAAAGCACTTTCTTAGTTCCCATCTACTAAGTGAAACACATTAACACGTGTTAAAATTTTATTTGGTTTTTCACTCTGGTAAGGGTTTTGTTGAATAGCGTGAAAATGTAACATTCCCAGTCATTTTCATTATGAAATCATCTAGACTGACGCACAAAACAACAATCTTCCCAGAACATTTCTCAGAGATGCCTTGATTTATGTTTTTAGGAAAGCAGTAAAACTCTGCTCCAAATCTGTGCGGGGACTTTTACATACTTTTGATTTAGTAAGTTAATGAATCAAAAGCAGTTGTTTTTTTCACCCTCACATTCTGGCCTATCAAATCTTTTGCTATTGAGATTAATGTTCACAACTGCTTACCACAGAGCTATGAGTTGTGATCCTGCATCTTAGCCTCTGCTTTTTAATTTTGCATGTTCTAACATAAGGACACACACAGGTATACCACAGAAGCCTGCTGTGCTTTGCATAAAAGCCCTTCTTTTGGAGCAACACAAATCAGACATGCATGGCAGTAATTACCCCAGTTTTTGTCTGGCACGCTGTGGTCATTTAGGAGATTAATCAGTCGTAGATAAATAAACAGTCCTTCCTTTCTCAATGTCACTCATCGAGGCTCAAGCTCTGAATAAGGAAAAACTTTATTATTCATTTAAACAGCTCAGACTTTTATTTCAAGACTATGTTGTGTACATACAACAGTTTCTTTCACAAGACAATTTGCTTCTATGTATGAAAATCATATTTTGTCCTGATAAAATGCAAAAAAAGTTATTACGACATTTTAGTCAAATCATTTATTTTGTCAAATAAAAGCTTGACAAACTTCATATGATATAGAGTACATGCAAAGATTTGACTTTAAGGCTACTTTAATAAAACTGAGAAAAGCAAATCAGGTTCCCTCTAAATGAAAAAATAATATGATATTTCTTAAGGTAGTATAATAAAAATAAGTACTAACGAAATCCACAATTCCCAAAAACCACTAAACAAACAAAACAGTTTGCCAAGATACACTGCACTTATATATATGCTAGTGAAATACAGTAAACTTTAGAGAATAGTTTCAACATTCAAATACCCTCAGGGAGCTTATCACTATAGGTAGTCATGAGCTCATTTCTTGTTTGCCAGTTAAGCTTCCCGCACAGTGGATACTGGTCTCTCTGGACTCAGAGTAATTATCTGAAGGCACGCAACACAGTAACTGGCGAGTTCAGCCCTGACACTGTGTAGGATATGTGAGACAAGCCTTCCTTTCACCTTGATTCTGCTATTTTTAATCACATTGAGAAGCACATCAGTCAAAAAAAAGAAATGTTTAATTTCTTAAACGTTTAAACTCTGCATTCCACTCTATGACTGATTCAAGAGGTCTGTAATACAACCTTAGTCAACGATTTACAAAACCCATATTTTATTTACAATAGACCACAGAAAACATTTTTAAGTTTACTGGTAAACGTGAAAAATCAGCTTTTTAGCAACAAACTAAACAAATGACAGATTTGTCATAGAACCATTTAATGTGACAGTTACAGTGTCAGGATTGTTTTTGCTATGGGAGAAGCATGAAGCAAATTTCAATGGATAATATATACATATTTTTAAATGTTTAAATTCAGACTTTCTACTGTTTCATGAAAAATAACACTCGTTTTGAATTTGATGGCAGCAACATTGCTCAAAAGAAGTTGGAGGCGAGAAAAGGCTAGAGAAGTAAGTAGTACTGAAAAGAAACAGCTGGAGGAACATTTTTTAAATAGTTAGGTTAACTAGCAACAGTTCAATAACGGGACTGGATATTAAAGATAGGCAGAGGTTCACCAATCTGTCATTGTGTTCACACAGTTCACAGTGCCATCCAAAAATGGAGGTTAATGCTTTATCATGCAAAGAAGAAGCCATATGTGAGAATTAGCTAGAAAAGTTGCTGTCTTCTATGGACCAAAGCCCATTTAAAATGAACACAGCCAAAGGGGAAACTGTTATTTGTCAGACAATTCAAAATTTTAAGATTCTGCTTGGAAAAAATGGATGAGGATGGAAGAGAAGGAAAATCCAGCTTACCAAAATTCAATGACTATACATCTCTGATGGTATTGGGCTGTGGAATTGGAAGCCTGGGCATCTGGAAAGGCACCATCATTGCTCAGCGGTATATGCAGGTTTTGGATCAACATATTTTCCCATGCAGATAAAGTCTTGTTCAAGGAGTTGCTTGGATTTTTCAACAAGAGAATGCTGAACTGCACAGTGCATTCATTACAGCAGCTTGGCTTAATAGTGGAAGAGTCAGGTGCTGAAATGGCCAACCATATCACCAAATAAAAACGTTTGATGCATCATGATAATAACTCGGAAGACAACCCAGCTAGGATCCTATATCCAACAAGATGGAATGTTCTTCTACCAAACGTCCAGCAGCTCATCCCAGCAGATGTTTATGGATTTCTGTTTAAAGGAAGACGGGTGCTACACAGTTGTCAACATGTCCCTGTCCCAACTTTTTGAGAGGTGTTACTGCCATCAAATTGAAAATGTCCTTATGTCTTTGACATGTTTCACTTTCCCACTTTAACATTTTACACCTTAACATCCTGACATGTTTACAATTGTGGTTGCGTATTCTGACTGAATCACAGCCTTCTATGAATTATTTGGCGTGAGTAAGACAAGTTTGTCTGTTAAAATATAAAAGCATGGGAACAAACATAGAGTCGTGCTCTGAAATGACTTCCAGAGTACTGACTCGAGCTCTAGTCCACATGAGTATTTGCGTCAAAGAAGGTAATCTGGGTTAGTGCTTTCATGTCAGAAAAGCCATTCAGCGGAGAGCACATGGGAAGAATGACCAAGTTGTTTCTACACAGAGCAACCTGCTGGAACTATATGAAATAAAATGCTGCCCTCTTGTGTCAAAATATGGTAAAACAGCAAGCCTTATGCATAAGGAGACGTTACAGCTGTGTTTGATGTAGCTGTGCTGCTACTTTGTGTGTGGATTTTGCCGTCTCCAATAATCTTGCTGGATTTATAATAGTAGATGAACAGGAAGAAACCTATACAAATAAAGAAGAAGGTTAAGGACTTTTAATCCAATAAAGAATGAAGTCAGCTCACTGTGACAGTTTTAGATTTACCTTGAAAGGAGTTGAGGATGGTAAAGATGTAGTAGGAAGCGATGAGCAAAGGTCCGTAGCTGAAGAAAGCAAAAGCCCAGGTGATGCCAAGAAGGAGGAACAGGCTCAGAATGGTGGAAGTATTGCTCTTAATGGAACTATTGTCTTGGGCCTTTCCTGCTTTTGGCATTAGAACGATTTGCCTTACAGTTAGAATGAATACACTCAGAGTGAAGACGAACACTACAGCATAATAACCAATGTTGACCCCCTGGTGGATACCAGCATCAGAGATCCAGCACCTGAAAAAGGGAGTACAACGTGATCCTCTGATGAAGATGTTTGTGTTTTATCCAAGAAATCTATTATCAGATTTACAGACTTACATTGTTGCTGCTTTCCCCTCATTTGTATTAATATTAATAGAATTATATTTCTGGGAGGCAAGAAGAGCGATCACCACCACAGCCGGTATGACTAAAGAGAAGATTAGGAATATAAATTCTCCTGTGATTATTATTCATAATATGAGAGCATAAGTATCATTTTTGGCTCAGGTCTCTTACCCCATCCTGTGATGCAAATCTTCAGCATGTAATGTTTCACTTCAGTGCAGATTCGACGTAGACTGAGGTACAAGTGTAAAGCCTGCATGAAGAACCAGGTAAAAGTGGCCAACATCCCGTAGTGCAGAACTGCTGCTATTGCCACACATGCACCTTTGATACCCAGGTTTGAAATGCTCTCATTGGTCAAGAAGGACAAGTTCAGGATCAACATGGCGACAAAGAGGTTCATCAGAATCTTTGTTGCTTCGCTTGCTTTCCCCTTTCTGTGGAGCAAATTAGTGTGCGTAAGAAAAAGGACTTTACTGAGGTAAAAATCCAAACTCCAAACTGCCTCGGATCTCTTACCTGACGAGAACGTGCATGAAGAGACCGACGATCAAGAAAAACAGCGACAGTCCACAACCGATTGAAGTGATGTAGGTCAGAGTATTAACATCAGAAGTGCTAATGTTTGCAGGTGTAGGTGACTAGGTTCAAATAGTTATGTGTCAGTATGTGCTGTAAAAAAATCATTTCTTATTTCCTATACAGCTGTCTTACCATGAGTATGGCAAAAAAGGTTAGATGTGTGCACTGGCAGGTGATGCTGTTATTGGTCTCCACTGTTTGACAGCCATCTGTGATCCAGAGTGATTTCCCTGTTGGACAGCAGTAATACAAAGAAGTAACTGTTAAAGACAGACTTTATCACAGTAATCAGCGTGTGTGCAAAATGTGAGTGAACACTTCAAAGGTCTTTAATTCCTGTGGTTTTCATATTAAAATTAGATATATATATAGAGAGATCTATTTGGGGGTTTTTACCGTTTGCATCTGTGCTGTTTCCATCCCAAGACATGCAAGAAGCATTCGCTCCTTTCTTTATCAAAATAGAAAATGAAAATCAGAATAAGTTTTCCTCTGAACTTAAATTGATCATTATTTCTGTTATGACATCACACTTACCTTGTCCACATTACTGTACTGAATCTCGATGGGTTGTGAAAGGTTTTGTATTTTTGCCCCCATTTCTATTCCCACTATCTCACTGTTTAAATAGTATTTACTGCTGTCATCCTGTTAAGATTAAAAGATTGTTAATAGATCAGGTTTGGTCAATATGTTTATACATATGAAAAGTAAGTTTTTAGTTGAGCTGTACTATTACCGCATGCTGCTGTGGAAACAACAGAATTCCAAGAAATGATCCATTTCCCTCCACCGCCATTTTACTGGCCTCTTTAGGAATTTTCATTAAACGAAATGGGCCCGTCAAATTGCTGTTTTCTCCTTTAACAATCTTTCAAAATGAGAAATGTTTATCAGCAAAAACAATTATAAAATAATGATGTCATGCATATGTATTATACAAACTAAAACTAATATATGCAAATGAGCATTAAAGTATCTTTTGTATTTCATCAGAATGTTCAATAACCAGAGTAATTTTCACTGAACTCAGAAATATGATTTTTTTTGGCAATTATTCCATGCCTCAGACATTAGAGAGTTAGTAATCCACAGTCTTAAAATTGTGTCACGCTCTTTATCAAACACCTTACCTTCACGCCAGCGTTTTTTGTGAAGGCAAAGTTCATGTTGTCTTGATTTTTCTGGGAGAGTTTGGCAATCACTCCTGTGATGTTGCCCATCTTGATTGTTGCTGTGCCAAAATTACCCATCATTTCAAGGACAAAGGATAGATTTTTCATGACGTCTCTGTAACACGGAGACAGTTAGTTTCTTAAAGTAGATTTCAAAAGTGTACAATATTGCAAAAATATTTCTATGAAAACTGAGATATCTACACTGGGTTAGGAATGGTATGGTTGATGGAAATGTCAATAGTGTCATTGTCATTGCTGGTGGTTGTTGTGGAAGATTCGCTGGAAGAATTGATGCTGGTGGTTGTTGTGGAAGATTCGCTGGAAGAATTGATGCTGGTGGTTGTTGTGGAAGATTCACTGGAAGAATTGATGCTGGTGGTTGTTGTGGAAGATTCGCTGGAAGAATTGATGCTGGTGGTTGTTGTGGATGGGTTGCATGACACAGTCCATGTGTCATTATCACTCACGACATATTCTGTTTTATGTAAATGTACACAAAGTATGCAAACACACACACACACACAAACAGAAGCGGGCTGTTGTTACACTTGCTAACATTAAATATTTGTTTTTAACTTGTCACAACCCGGCTCATAGGAAGCCCACTGGCCGTCACAAACTGATTTGATAAACAAATAATTATACCTGTGAGGTTTTCACGAAAGCTCCCTTTGCTCAGTTTCATATTCATACTCATATTCTTCATACCTTGAACACATAAAAGTATGAAATTAGAACTTGTGCACTGTCACTGCTGTCACATTGTTTCATGTAGAAATTAAGAGGAAAAGGTTTGTGAATTTACTTTCACTCAAGCAGCGGTTGATGCTACAAAAAAAACCTGCAACAAGATGGAAAGTGCATCAGATCATTGGTTGGAAACCTTTTCAAACTGATCAAATAAACTGAAAATTTGACCACTGTGCACTAACTCACTTCTAAGAGGCTTACCAGGGCTGCTTTTGTTGTAGAGCTGGGATGGCATACATGAATAATTATGCTCTGGATCCTTCATCACCACAATATCTTGCTTGGATAAAATCTCTTCAGTTAAATTTAGCCTGTATTTACCTTGACTATCTATTTTTACTTCAATATTGCAGTTGAAATCCGTGTCGTTACAACACTCTAAGAAAATTTTAAAGCACAAACACATTTAGCAAATAACCAAGACAAATGTTTTTCCCCAACAGCTTGAAAGCAAAAAAAAAAGAAAAGCTAAAAATTAGATAACTGTACCTGCACGTGTATTATTTGGTTGGATGTTGAAACAGAGTTTAGTTCCATTGTCCTCTTGGTAGATAGTTTCTAAATTAAAATATAAAACCCCAGATTACTAAGTTTGTCCTTTAACCTAATGATGATTTTTTCCTGTATTGTTTTTAACTTACTTGATGGAAAATATGAATCAGCTAGTGTTTTGGGACTGATAAAGAGGGTATTGTTGGGTTTACTGTCTCCATTTGTGCCTAAAAAGTTTCAACATAAAAATATGAGAAAAATATTTTGAGAAATACTGGTTTCTTTTAAGCTAGATTTTGTTACTTACCTGTGCTGTACAACAGAAGCATTAGCTCCACGGCAAACATCAGGCAATGGTTTACAGCCAATGGTAACATTATCCTAAGGAGAAAAGGGAGCCTGCAAATGAAAATGGAGCAAGCTTACTTATCACAACCTAAAACTTAATAAGTTCCAGCTTCTATTTCCCAAATGAGAATATGTTCTGCGTTGTTGAGTTTCACAGCAACTTGAACTTACAGTCATTATTTTTGCTGACAAATATACCTTTGATATCTTCCTCTTTACTTTGACTTGCAAATAAACTGGTCCTCCTTTTTAAATTATATGTTTCCTCAGAAAAAACACTGCCAGAATGCTACTTCCCCCCCCATGGGCTGGACTGTAGGTCTGAACATAAATGCTCCAGTAATACTTTATCCCTTGTACTGATATGAAATCTAAAGAATGTGCAGTTTTTAAAATGTATCTGTGCTCATTTCAGGTTGGATGGAAAACAGGAAGTCATCACTCTGATTGTGCTAAAACCTTCTAGGTATCCGCAGGTTTCTAAAGATGTGCAGTGTATAGGATTATTTACAGTTGTAGTCAGATGTTTACATACGTTCATCATGGGCTTGAATGTTTATGCAACAGACATCTTACTTTAAAATATAAGATTTGAGTGCACAAATTATGATTTTATTTTGGATTTTTTTCTAATCCACAAAATGTCAAAAGTATACATACATTCTAATATATGTACGTACGCCCAGTAATATTTGGTTTAATGTGACGTGGCAAGTTGCACCTCAGTGGCATGCTTTTGGTACCCATTAACCAACATTCTTCTTGGCAGTGTTGGCAGAGTTAGTTTAAATCTGTTGGTTCCCTGGCATGGGCCTGGCTTTTAAGCGTACAATGGTGTGAAAAAGTGTTTGCACTTTCCTGATTTCTTAGTTTTTCACATATTTGTCACACTTACATGTTTCAGATAATGAAACACATTTTAATATTAGACAAAGGTAAATAAATACAAAATGCATTTTTAAAATGATGATTTCATTGATTAATCCATCCATCCATCTTCATCCGCTTTATCCGAGGCCGGGTCGCGGGGGCAGCAGCCTAAGCAAAGAGGCCCAG